ATGGCGAGACATTTGGATTCTCATTGTCTTCCCCGGCCAATTTGCAAAATCAACAGGCATGCGCGGCGATGGGCTCCAGACAGCGAGCGCGACTAGGTGCACGACGCGAGCGTGGCAGGCGGCTCTGATTGCGCCGCAAAATCCAGGAGGCGGTGCCGATGGAGGAAGCGGCCAAGTCCTGACGGCAGCAACGAGCACCCTAGCCAGTCGCCAGCGCTGGCTCATCGCAGAGGACACTGTGGCTTGGGCCGGTCGACGGCGGTGGCGGACCAACGAACGCCAGCGAGGGAGAGCCGGCCGACGGCGTGGTCCAGGAGAACGCGACGACCGGAGAAGGAGGAGGTCTGGGCTGGAGGCCCCAAGGTCGACCGCGGTCGCGGCGAAGACGGTCGGTGCGCAGGGGGCGGAGCAGATTCCGTCGACGATGACCTAGCTCGGTGGCGAAGCTAGAGCAAAATGGAGGGGGGTTCGAGATTTTGCCACAAGTATATCAATATATATAACTTCAAGCTACATTTTCGATAGAACCGTTGATTAATAATTTTTTTACATCAACTGTAGAGACACACATGCATCAATAAAATAAAAAAAGTGACAAACATTGTTTTACAAAATTAAGAAATCCACTAATAACATTGATAATTGAGAATTGGTTACTAACCCATGAGCAAAAGATGATCTGCATATGCAAACATAAGCAAACACCGTTCTATTTCATTATCTCAACATCCTCGACGATGATTTGATAACCTAAAACAAGTTAACATCAAAATCAGTTCTCATTTTTCAAATAAAAAGTAGAATCCAGCGCACTTAGATACAATCATTACCTTCAATCATCATCAAATCTGCATCCTTACATTTTCATGAAGCGACGAACAACGGCCTCATTGGTGACTTTCTTCATTTCTTCTTTCTCCACATAACAAATAAGGCTATCACTTAAGTACTCATCACCAATTTTATTGCGCAAATATGTTTTTACATTCTTCATAGCTGAAAAGCACCTCTCAACTGTGGCAGTAGCGACGGGCAATACAAGTACAAGTTTTAAAAGTTGATAAACCAATGGATAACAAAGATGTTTTCTTGTCTCCACCATTATTTGAGAAAGCTCGGCAATAGTTTGTATGTTGGAGAATCTACCATCATCCCTCACATCAGCGATGTAGAGACCAAGTTGGTGGCTAAGGTCCCTCAAATTTCCAGAATTAAAATCACTAGGATACAATTTTGCTAAACTCATCAAATTCTCTAGATTGAAATCATGAAATGAGTCTCTTGGACTAAAAGCCGATGAGCAAATAAGCAATTGAGAGCTTGTCTCACTGAAGCGATTGTCAAGCTCTTGAAGTATCCAATCAATAACATCATTAAAACAATCCACTTGATAGTAATGCTTGTTTGTAATTCCAGATTTGTGCCTACGCTTCTTGGGATCAATATATGTATCTTCTATTTCCAATTTGACAATATCATAGTTGTCACAAAAGTCAGAGACTTCATCTAGAACTTTCTCCCACTTTTCTCTTCTAAGCTCATCCAAATTGAGCCTAGTTGACTTTACACATTTCATAGCATTCACTATGTCTTGATCCTTCCGTTGCAATGCTAGTGACAAGCTGTTTGTGATTGTTAATATAGTCAACATGAGGTGCAAATAGAAGACAAAATCAAAAGATTGGAAGTACTCCAAAAGATTCGATCCTTGATCTCTAATTTTCCAATCATTTTTGTCTTTTTCCACAATTTCTAGCACTTTGACTATTGTAGCAAACATGCCAACCAAACTTTTGAGAGTTTTATAGTGGGAACTCCATCGAGTATCCCCAGGTCTCTGAAGACATTGCTCTTGATTCAACCTGGTTCCAGTTTGAAGTTGCCCAGAACCCAATGCCTTACTCATTTCTTTAACATTAATATCTCTAATCAAATCCCTTCTCTTAGATGATCCACCCACCACATTCAGTAAGATGGAAATCTTAGTAAAAAAATCACTAACGTCTTTATGTTTTCTCACAATATCCACAAGAACCAATTGGAGTTGGTGAGCAAAACAGTGAACATAATAAGCTGAACTATATTCCCTCATGATCAATGATTGCAAACCATTGAACTCACCTCGCATATTGCTAGCACCGTCATATCCTTGCCCTCTAACTTGCTTTAGACTTAGCTTTAGTTCTGCAAATAGAGCATCAATAGAAAACTTGAGATAGGCAGAAGTTGTTTCAGTCACATGGACAAGACCAATAAATCTCTCTCTCACAATTCCCTATTTATCAACATATCTCAAGACCACTACCATTTGTTCTTTGCAAGAAACATCTCTTGATTCATCAACTAGCAAGCAAAAAACATCATGCCCAATTTCTTCTAGAATAGCATGTAGCACTTCCTTTGCAAAACATTTCACGATATCCCTCTGTATTTCAGGAGCAACCAAAAGACTGTTATTTGATTTTTTTGTACCTATTGCCTTTCTTAAGGATGGATTTTTGCTCCGCTGTGTAATCACGAAATTCCCTGAAGTTGCCTCTGTTGTAGGACTCCTTTGACTCATCGTGACCTCGGAAAGGCAATCCTAGCTTTACTAGCATCCTAGCAACATCAATGGACCCATTCAATCGAGTAAGATAGTCCCTCTTACCAGTTTCTCTCACACTATGAAAAGCTACATCAATGTGCTGTCTTTTTTGTAATAAATCATCACACTTCTTCATTGCTTGATAGTGTGAACCACCGACATCACCTACATGCAATTTCAACCTTTCTTTTCTATGAAAACCATTCTAACCATTTTTAACAAATGCTTCATATCCACCATCCTTCTTTTCTCTAAACAAGAAACAGAAAAAACAATATATGCTCGATTTTTGGACTCACTGTATTCAAGCCAACTTCCAAACTCATCAAACCATTCCGGGACAAACCTTCTTGAACCTGTCATAGGAAAAGCAAATGTGCGAGGTTAACAAGGGCCATTCTCTAAGTATTTCCTTCTCACCCTCTCTCTGAGATTATGATGGTACTCATCAATTTGTTTTCTTAATCTTGGATCATATTTAATCTCATCTTCCCAGTTTATATCATCCAAACATGAATTACATGCATTGTTAGCACTATTCGGCTTTGGCACTTTCCTTTTGTAAAATCATTCCATCAATTAACCTATCATTAGATGATTCAGGAGGATGTAAATATATACTGATTTTATCATTCGTTCAAGTACAGAAGTAGATTGAAAATTGATATGACTTACATCCAAATAGCACCTTCAACTCAAATTCTCAAATTTTCCCCCAATCTGCAATTTTATTCCAATTCTGAAGGATTCCAAATTGAACCCTACTGGCCTCCTAATTCTACAATGTAAAAAAAAACAACCAATAAAAATTTTAGGCCTTTGTATCTAATAAATCAAATTGATTAAAAAAGAAATAGATGAAGCATGCTTTCTTACCTTGTCTCTACTAATGCACAATGTGGCTGTGTGCTGATCAGTTGATGGAGATGGATGATGTCGTTGTTGGCTTCATGGCTTGTGAAAGTGTGGTCTGACGCTTGCTCCTGGTTAGCTGGTTGCCTGGCGACCGGCTTCCTGCCTTCCCGGCTCCTGCGGCTGGAGCAAGCAATGCAGGCGCTAAGCAAGCAGGGGCTACGGCGACGGCGAGCTGCCGAGGGCGATGGCCGACGGCAGCGCGTCGTGGTGCCGAGATGGGCAAGTGCTGTCTGGGAGACTGGGATTGGCTGATTGCAGAGCAGCGGCGTGGAAGCCAAACAGACGCGAGGCAGAGTCGTCAAGATTAGCAGCGACGGGACGCGGCATACGAGAAGTCGAGAAGAGAAAAGATTGATCTGGATTTGACTCTCCTCATGGGTTTACAACGTTAACTGGACTGTTGTTAGGGCAGAGATATGGGGGTAATAACTAAATTTTTTTTTAAGGGGTGTTCATCTGCACCCACGGGCCTCTATTGGGCTTCGCCCCTGACCTAGCTAGCGAGGTGCCGTTGCTGCTGCTTGACAATGACAAAACCAAGGAGATCGATCTCTCCTGATGACCAAGAACGAAAAAGACGGGGCCGCTGGAGAGGATCCGGATCGATCTTCTCGGCCCACCACCTGCCCTCGAGCGGCGCCGTGCGCACCGATCGCCTGCGCGGCCACGCTTGACGACGCGCTGCTGCCCACCGCTGCCCTCGCGTGCCGACCGCCCGCGCGCGTCCACGCTTGACAACCCGCTGCCGCCCATCGCGGCCCTCGCGTGCCGACCACGCCTGACGTCGCGAGAGAGAGAGAGGGGGGAAGAGGGGAAGAGGAAAAGGAGAAGATAGGAGAGAATGACAGGTGGGCCCCACCATATTTAAAAAAAGAAAATGCTGACTAGGTTGCCACGCGTACGTCACGTAGGACAAAACTGCTCTGGATTGGGTCGAGGGAGGTAATTCGTTCGGTATTGAAAGTTTAGGGTGAGTAATGTCCGGTTTTCGAGTTCATGTGGGAAATTTGGCCGACCGTGATAGTTCATAGGGTAATTTGTACTTTTCCCTTCTCTCTTCTACCTGTAATTCCTCTAGACGGCTAGCTAGCTACACCCAATCGGCCAATCCCCTTACTCAATAGCTCAGCTCGATTTCTCATCATTACCGCCGTGCACACGCATTACTATGGCAGGTGTTGGATCGTAACATAGGACCAACATATGTTCAGTTCATGGCTCGTTTCAGAGATCAAAACATAGCTTATTAAGAGCAGGTACAATAGCAAGGCTCTAAGCCATTTATAAATATATTTTAAAAAGATAAAGGAAAAAAAAGAAGAGCAACGGACTAAAAATATGTAGCCAGCTGCAGCATGGACTTCAAGACGTAACGTGTGTATGATAGGTTGGACCAGGTATTAATAGTATAGTAAGTAACTATTGTATGAATTAGCTATTACATTGACTCTAGATGATTTGAAATTAGTAGTTGGCTATATTATTAAACTTGCTCTAATTAAGAATAAAATAAGGCCATTGATGATTTATCACTGATCATTTCTCGAATAAGTACAAAGTGCGTACAGTTACTTCACGTGGCCAACGAGAAAACGACAGCTCGAACTGTCCCATTCTGCGTGCAGAGCCTCCAATAAATTAAATTAAGAAAGGCATGGAGGTTGGTACTAGGTAGCAATATGATAGTAGCATGAGTCTAGAGCTTGGAGTCGCCCCCAACGTTGATGACGAAGCGGTAGCGGACGTCGTTGCGCGCCAACCTGGCGAGCGCATCGTTGATCCTGTCCGTGGACACGATCTCGATGTCGCAGGTGATGTTGTGCTCCCCGCAAATGTCCATCATCTCCTGCGTCTCCTTCATCCCACCCGTCATGCTCCCACTCACCGTCCTCTTACCTGCACGCAACCCACGAATTAATTGATTGATTAGTTGGCAGATACTACTAAGTAGCGTAGTAGTAATTAAATTAACTTGATGGGTGATTGCTCAAATGCTCACCGAAGATGAGAGGGAAGGAAGGGAGCTCGACGGGCTTCTCCGGCGCGCCCACGAGCACCAGCTTGCCGTTGACCTTGAGCAGCTCCAGGATCGGACCCAGAGAGTGCGTCGCCGCGACCGTGTCAATGATGTAGTCAAGGCTCCTCGTCATAGCCTAATTTATTGCAGTAAATTAAGTAATTAACTAGTTCAGTGCTTAATTAAATTAGTACTCCACTAATCTTGAATGACGGCTAAAGAACTTCCGAAAAAAGAATTCCACACACTAATCCTCGCGTGAGAGGTTTGGAAGGAGAGCGGATAACCCCGGGGAGTTTTCAGCGCAAAGAGCCTTTTTCTTTTTTTCACATCGTTAGGAGCAGAGATTAAGGAAGGCAGAACTTGAGCGATAGCAGGGGCAAAGCACATCTCGCTTATTATGCTGTCGTAGTGTTCTTACTTCTCATATAGTAGGTTTTTTTCATACTTGTATTGATAACTTTTACTCCTATTATTTCCAATGAAATTGACACGTTTGCGATCGGTTCGTTTTTTTTTAAAAAAAACTAATTAATCTTATGCGTGCACATGATGAGGTTGCCTTGGAGTTCAATCGTATATTCGTATGTAATTACCTGCATCTGCTTCTGGTCGGTGCTGACGACGAAGTTGTCGGCCTTGAGGTTCTCCCTGGCCTCGCGCTCCTTGGCCGGAGACGTGCTGATGACGGTGACGTGGAGGCCGAACGCCTTGCCGAACTTGACGGCGACGTGGCCGAGGCCGCCGAGGCCGACCACGCCGAGCCGCCGGCCGGCCGCGTCGGCCTGCAGCATGCCGTGCTGCTTCATGGGGCTGTACACCGTGATGCCCGCGCACAGCAGCGGCGCCGCGGCGTCCAGCGGGAGGGTGTCCGGGATCCGCACGACGAACCGCTTGTGCGCCACCAGCATGCCGGAGTAGCCGCCGTAGGTGATGCTGCCGTCCCAGAAGATGCCGTTGTAGGTGAGCGCCACCTTGTCGCAGTAGTTCTCCTCCGACCGCCGGCAGTGCTCGCAGTCGAGGCACGACGCCGCGATGCACCCCACGCCCACGCGGTCGCCCACCTTGAACCCGGCCACGTTGGTGCCCACCTTGGTCACCACGCCGGTGATCTCGTGCCCCGGCACCACCGGGTACATGGTGATCCCCCAGTCGTTGTGGATGAAGTGCAGGTCCGTGTGGCACATCCCGCAGTACTTCACCTTGATCGTCACGTCGTCCACCCCGTTCTCCCTGCAACCACCCATGCAATAAATCTCATTCTCAACAACAAGCTACATCTAAATCTATCCAAATATCAATCACTTCTTGCTCATTTCTTTATACCTTCTCTTGAAGACGAAGGGCACGATCTTGCCGGACTCGTCCATGGCGGCCCAGCCGGAGACGGTCTGCGTGTGGTTGGGGGTGACCTCCATGACCAAAGCTGTGAGTGTGTGTGGTTGTTGGTGGGAGGCAGAGAGATTCTTGGCTTACTTTTGTTGCTGTTCCTGACTGTTGGTTAGGACTATATACATGGCAGCTTCTAGCAACGGCTACTTATATAGACGGATTGACATGCGTTTGGTGTGAGATCAGGTCGTTTTCTAAAGCTTTTTTTTTTTTTGGAGCTAGTGCCTAGTGGTTTACTTACTGGTCCACACATTAATTAACTTGTGCAATGCGTGCTGGGGGACTTCTGGTAATGAGGTCGCTGGTGACTGACATAGATGCTGTACGTCAATGATAAGTGAGCGCTTGGTCAAGTTGATGTTTTTCATTGGGCAATGACTAAAATGATTTTGGTCTTTCGCGGTCGTGTTATGGCAATCCAAGAGAGTTTCGTTCTCGTTTGGTGAAGATTCCGAAGATGCTTCACGCCTTTAGCCATGAAGTTTCCAATGCACATGGATGTGTTTGGTGGTGAAATTATGGGTTTATTTAACGAAGAACGAAAGTTATAGCCGTGTTGAATATTTATTACCAACAGGACTTTTGGTGTGAAGATGCTAAGTACTTTGGATGAAACTGCTCGTAGGAATGTTTAGTAATTACTGAATTTTAGGGGAATAAGTACTGAATTACTCCCTCCGTACTCGGATTGGAAAGGAAGTCGTTTTGGATAGCGACACGGTCTTCAAAATACAATTTGACTTCTTGTTTCTATAAAGATATTTATTGAAAAATAATATATGTATACTTTTATGATAGTATTTTTCAAGACAAATCTATTCATATAAATTTTTACATTTTCAAACTCGACAAACTTGAGAGCTATTCATGATTTATATTCCTAAGATTTGACTTAAATATTGTCATAAACGATTTTCTTTACGAGTATGGATGGAGTATATATATATATACATATACATTCGCAAGTAGTTTTAGTATTTTTTTAATTTGTTTCTTGGGGGACTTTAGTTCTTTATATTTACACGCGGTTTAGTGCTTGTCAGATCTAATTGGTCGAAAAATTTAGTACGTTGTACAAAAATGATTTTGGGAAAGAAAAAGGGTAAGTTTACATATTTGTGCACGCTTCACTGCTTGTTATTCGTGTGACCACGTATCACCTCATATATAATTGTCAACAAGAGGCAATGCTAATTAAATGTTGTACCTTTAACGCTTTACCATAAAACGAGTTCTGTACTCTTTTATATTCGAAGAGAAAATGCCTCGGTTGGAATAGATAAAACAAAACGTATGATGCCGTCCTCGATTAGGTGCTCTGTAGTAGTAGTAGTGAACATAGGTTTCTTCTTTGATAATTGAAAATTTTATACATTTCCAGTTCTATGCACAGCACATGGCCTGAAAGAAAAGATTGCCAGATTGAATTTTGGTGGCAATTGTTTGATGAGGAATTTCGTAGGAAGGAAATGACAGCAGTAAATTCCAAGAAATGGGATGTTTTATCATATTATTTTCACTACTTACATTCTTTAGAAGAATATAAGTAGGTACTTCTAGTTGTACCAATTTGGAAAAAAAATCAATTGATATAAAAAAAACTTAGTACGTACTAAGTAATACTCCCACCATTTTCTAATATATGACGTCGTTGACTTTTTAAAATATGTCTTTGACCGTTCGTCTTATTTAAAAAAAGTATTTATCATTTATTTTATTGTAATTTGATTTATCATCAAATGTTTCTTTGAGCATGACTTAAATTTATTTTTATTTGCACAAAATTTTTGAATAAGATGAATGGTCAAAATTTTGTTAGAAAATCAATGATGTTATATATTAAAAAAACGGAGATAGCAACTACTTCCTCGGTTTCACAATGTAAGTCATTTTAGCATTTCCCATATTCATATCTATCTATCTATTATATACTAAAAGTCCATTAACCTTTCTAAAATCGCTCTCAAGCTGACATGTGGCATCCTAAAAGCGCTCTCAAGCTGCCACATGGTGCGAGGAGAGGAGATGAGTACCCACAAAAAAAATGAAATCCTCTCCCACAATGTCCGCATGTACGAATGCATGTGGATGCTTTCCTTCCATGCTTAGCGGCAGGATTACCAAGTAATCAGGGTATTACATTAATAAGGTTTTTTTTCTGTTATTTGGATCAGTATGTAGGAGTCTATGTTGGGCTTTAGTCCGTTCAGCTGGCGAGGCCTTTGTGCCACCTATATATGCCATGTTCCTTGTATTAGGAGATTGGTTTTTAGTTTTCCTCTGTGTTGTGCCGCCGCCACCGCCTAGGTCAGGAAGGAGATGGCGATTCCATACGTTTTGCCACCATCATTTCTGTGATGGTTAATTTGGTCCTAGGCATGTTCTGATTTCTGACGAAGTCTTCTTGCTCTGATCGGCTATCATTCTTGCTGCATGGGTGGAGTTTATGTACATGTTTCGTTAGTTTATTCATTATAAACTGAATCATCTATCTATTTAAATTTGGTGCTACTGGAGCTATTCAGTTCAGTTTATCTGGAGTAAACGATCTTATGTGTGCGACCCTATAAACTTTGCTGGACGAGATCTCTATCTTAATATTGATGCTGCTCTTGATTCAACTGGAGATTAATATCTCTATCTTAATTTATATTCTCGCTGCATTAGAAAGGACACATTTATCCCATACCAAGTTATACACTCAACATAGTTATGTTTACATCTAAATTTTAAGAGATCAAAAGCATTTTAAGAACAATTGATAGAACATAGACCTCCAATATTCCCAAAGAAACAGAAAGGATGACTGGAATTCAGACAAAATTTGGGCTAAATTTAAACAAAATTTGTTGAATCCAAAGCCCAATATAAATTGAAGAAATCAATTGAATTTTTTTTTGCTTAAAGTTCAATAACTATTCTTAAGAACACAAATTTCTTAAAGTTTAGAACTCCAAAACAAAGATTTGATATGTATTAAAAATAACATATAGTTTAGATGACAGTTCATAGGAACCAACTTTATTTTTGCGACATAATACTTTTCTATAATTAAAGATTTCATGTTTGTAAGTAATTTTAGTTTAGAATTTATGTGTTGCAAGGATAATTAGCATTCAAAATATTCACAAACAAAATATTGACAAAAAAATAGGTTGCCAATAGAATCAGGAACAATCACGCATATACAAACATTATATTCACATGTGTAGAGTAATATTTCAAGCACATTAAATTAGATGCCGGCGCATATGCGCGGGCTTCCTTTCTAGTTGATGTTAATGAATCTACATAGATATATATGTCTAAGATTCATTAACATCAATATAAATGTGGGAAATGCTAGAATGACTTATATTATGAGGGAGTAATTAGCTAGTACTCCATCGGTCGCTGCATTGTTTCATATATTTATCAACCGCAGGGGAATAACATTTTTCTATATCTTTCTAAGTATAATAAGCCTCATCTAAAATAAAACAGGATGACAACCTGCAGCGAAGTAAACGTACGGGATATGAGTGTTCCTTTTGTTTTTATTTCACATATAGGAATTTGGAGAACAAGACAATATGAATCCGAACAAATAAAAAACCTGCGGCGTTTTACAGATCTTACACATGTCAAAACCTACCTATATATATACATGTATATATATATATATATACATATATACATACATATATACATATATACATATATATATATACATACATATATATATATATACATACATATATACAATACATACATATATACATATATATATATATATACATACATATATACATATATACATATACATACATATATACATATATACATATATATACATATATATACATATATACATATATACATATATATATACATATATACATATATACATATATATATATACATATATACATATATACATACATATATACATATATACATATATACATATATATATACATATATACATATACATACATATATACATATATACATATATATATACATATATACATATATACATACATATATACATATATATATACATATATATATATATATATATATGTATATATATATAATTGTGTTGTATTCTGGCAAAACTCAAATATTAGATGATTTGCTCAATTCATCGTGTAGCGCGGTTCGCATTAGTCAGGGATCATTGCTAAAGATTACAGAGATTACAGAGGATCTTTTTGATGTTCGGCCTGATCTGCATAAACGATCGACCCATGATGGGAATCATACAGAACTAGTGGAGGTCCTGTGCAATGTGCGTGCATTAGTTACCAATCACATGTTCGATCGATCTGCATCTGCGTTCTGGACTTCTGGTTAGTTCGAACCAACAGACAGCAGTAGTACATAGCCACTTATCGTTGTTACGCACTCATACATATTACATGACTCTGGAGATAATTAACTATATATATATATATATATATATATATATTATGACGATATATAAAACATCACTTTTGATTATTTCATGCCCACATTACAATCTCCTATTTGATGTTTCGTAGTGGACAGTCATAGATGGACATTTAGCAACATGTTGTGTGCAGATTATTTTTTTTCTACCTCATCATTTGTGTTAATTGCGTTCGAGAAAAAAAATCATTTGTGTTAACGGCTGCGTTATTTTGCACCGATTCCGCTTTGAGTGTTTATTCCATTAAAAAAAACATATATGTTTGTGTATAAGAGCAGTATAATAGGACACCGGCAGACGAAGTCCCATCTCAATTAGAAGAAACAGAGCAAAGCGAGCAACTAGATCGCCGCTAGCTCCACGCTTGCTCCAACAGATAACGTTAATTTTCACTGGCATATGTAGCCAACGCATCAGTTGGATGAGTGAATGATGCAGTTATAATCTGATTAAATTAAATTCGTGAACCGTGTATAGACAAGCTAAAACTGAACTATTGGGTTTATGGTCAAATATATCGTCGACATGGTTGTTTTCAGAGCTGATAACTTACTACACTACTAGACTTGCACTAAAAATTAAGATAGTATATTGAATGACTATATGCTCATGCTATCTATGTTTTTTTTTACAGCCTTGACCCTTATATTAATTTGTGGATGGAGGTAATTATTTATAAGTAAAGAATAGTCATCT